CCTCAGCTAATCCCCTCAGCACTGGGGGGTGGAGATCATCCGGACCAGCTGACTTGAATACATCCAGTCCCTCCAGAAGTTCCCTAACTAGTTCCTTGCTAACCCTTGGCCTAGGTGCGCCTCCCCTGCTGCCTGAGGGGGGCATAGTGGGGGGGTGACTGTTCCAGTCCCTGCTTAGGAAAATGGAGGCAAAGAAAGCATTAAATATGTTGGCTTTGTCGTCTTGTGTAACGACCAAACTTCCTAACATGTTCTTCAGTTAGGCCAGGGCTGTCCAACTGGTGGCCCATGGCCACATGTGGCTTCCCTTCCTAAGGGTTAGCATGGAGCCTACAGGCACCTGCCCAGCCACTCCTCCCCCCACTCTCCCCAGGTGCTCCTGCCCCTGTAGCTGGGTGGGCGCTGCAGTGCCTGAGCTGCTTGCATGGCAAAGGCAGTTGGGATACCTCTGGTGGGGACACGAGGTGGGTGGTACACACAGCTGGGAGGCAGCTGGGCTGCCAGTGCTGCAGGGCTGACCATGTGGTGCACATGGCTCAGTGGGGAGGGAGCCAGGCTTCCCGCTTTGCATATGGCGAGAAGGTGTATGTTTGTACTGCCCCTGATTAAAAGTATGATGTTGAAAAGCCTGAAACAGTATATGAAAATGACTTTGAAAAAGCTTCTCTCAAAGGAAAAAAAAAGAAGAAAGCTTAAGAAGGATGTTTGACTTAGCTTTGTTAGTTTGCGTGGGGGGTAATTAATATAAACTCCCAATAGTATTTATGGAGATTATTATTATTGCTAAATATTTTGATTTATATCCCATCCCATCCAAAAATGGTCCAGGATGGCTCACAATAAATTAGACAAACCACAAGATAAGAAACATAGTTGATTTTTTGTGAGTCTGGGTTTGCTGGTAGTGTGTATGAAGAGAGAAGTTAGTAAAAATAGCAATGATGGAGAGGAGGGGGGTGGCAAGGGGTTACCTGGTTCTACATGGCTGGTAAAATAAGTTTCAAACTGGCATAAAAAGTCCTGTCCTGGGACAGATACCCAATAATCTAAGAACTGACAAATCTGAGTACTGTACCCACTAGGCATCTAAGCGGATGATAGGTATTCTCATTTAAAATTTATTGTTTCATACTTTCTTTGTAATAATTTGCTCTAAATACACACGTTCTAAGGAAATAATAAACTGAGCTAAACTCAGCCAAGATGGTCACAATAAGTTACAAAGGGATTGCAAACTAAAATACTGGTATAGAGGGGAGGGGAACATGGGTTCCCATCCCAAGAAAGATTCTGGCTAGAGGCGAGACCTATGCAGGGGGTGGAGCTGAACTTATAAAACTGAAACTGTGACATGCAGTTCATTAAAACTTGATGAAGACAAGACACCTTCACTAACAGCTTCTTCCAACAAAAGTTCAAAGCAACTATTTGTATCAGTAATATGTCTGTAGCTCAAACACAGTCATAAAGGGGTTGGGGACAAGCCTTGCTAGAAAGCCAATAAACTCTCCTCCAGAAACGGATGTATGCATGATATAGCTCCCAAGTAACAGCTTTTAAGAAAAAAGAGCTCTAACACTGGGATACATTACAAGAATTCCTGCAGTTCCTGCTTCTACTCTGACACATTATGTCTGTTTTTTCACATTCCCCATTAAAAAGAAATTAGCACAGCTTCCGTCTTAAATTATCTTCACTTTGGCTATTTAACTCTAACATCAATTAGCATTTTGGTTTTGGAGCATCTGTATGAAATAAAAAAGCTGACCAGAAAGACTGTAGCTTTGTCAACAAATGAAGCAAGACAGCTGGATTTCCAAGAGGGTGATAATCCCTGCCTAGCTTTCACTTTCAGAACAAGATGGATGCATTTAAAAAAAAGTTTTAATTGAGTTTATGGTACATATCATAGGAAAAAGATGGCTCTCTTTCACAACACACACCAAACAGAGTGAGCCTGAATGTAACCAAAACAAATCACACAAGTTCCCTAAGAAACCAATAATTTCAATGCAGCAGAAAACAATAAAATACTTTTTAAAAACATCTTTCCCTTATCTAGAGAATGCAAAATGTTTTCCCTTTCATAGTCTCTGTGTTAGGGCAAAATGATCTAGCTGGAATGGGATTCAAAATTTTTTGCCTCCCAGAGAGGCACCTAAGCATTGTCACCAGCAACAAGACTACCATATTTACTCAAATACAAGATGCCCCCCCAAATAATTAGATTCTACACACAGAAAATGTATAAGTTTATTATAATTTTCCATGTGTGGAATCTAATTATTGGAGGATCATCTTAAATGTCTCCCTCCCCACTACTACAGGTAGTGGGGAAGAAAAGTGATGAGGCAGTAGTGGGGTAGGTGGTAGGGAACAGACAGTGGGAGGGGCAGTAGGGGGCAGGTGATAGGGGGCAGACAGTGAGGGACACAGGCAGCCTATCCTCTGCTGCTTGCCTGCCCACCCCCTACCAGCCCCTATGCCACAGCCTCAGGTTACCCCAATTCCCGCTTTCCCTGTTCCCCCCTCCCCACCACTTCTGTCACCCACAGCCTCAGGTCCCTGCCCCGCTTCCTCCC